CGACGTACCTTAAAATCACGGAGTGGTTTGGCGACGCGACCAATCGCGGTACGCGCGCAGAACTCTTAGTACGTGGGGCACCCTATCCCGGGGACGAGGACATCGTCAACGAAGACGGACAGAGGTGTATCTACTCACAGGATCGTTTCCATGCCCGCCTACTCAAGGACGGGTCTGGAATGTATACCATAGTGGATAACATCCGCTGGGGACATGTCGAATGCCCCGGCGAGGCTCTGATAGACCCACTATTCGATGTTGCAGCCTGGTTCCGAGAGGCTTGTCTCTCTGAACCAGGGGAAGAACGAACCGTTAACCCTGAACAGTTCTTCAGCTACTTGGGTGAAGGAATGGGACCGGTACTTACCTCTCACGTCGAGAGCATCCTCGCAGAAGACTCCCCTTACTATGGGGATCGTCGATCGCTTGGGAAGATGCAGAACCGGTTCCGCTGTAAGCTGGATAACGAAGCTATCATTATCCATGACAAAGAACGCAATTTCGATGCTCACCTGGGTATTGAGCATATATTGAACCCAAAGTTCAATATACCTTCATGGTATGACAAACAACTGTGTTTGTCATTAAATAAACTTCGTACACGCATCCTGGAGGGAGGGGAAGACTCCCTGGGACTGCAGGAGTTATTCGAAGAGGATGGGGAAAGCCGTTACCTGTCTCTCCTGGCTGCGGCTTATGCAGACCAGGCGGACAGGCTCGCATTCCCCCACCGGGTTAGGTGTGAAGACTCACCTAATTCGTATACCGTTACTGAGCTGAATGGGGTACAAGTCCCCGCTAACGCGTACCCTAATATTCAGAGGAACGCGTCAGTAACCAAAGACTTTAAACGGCTCATACCTAAGCCCATCGTCATTGTTGTACAAATCAATGGTCAGCCAGCTCGAGCCCTGCTGGACTCTGGCTCGTTGGCTGATTTCATGTCCTATGACCTGGCCAATCAGCTCCGGGTCGCTAAAGTCGAACTCACCAAACCATTACCCGTGCAGTTAGCCGTTCAGGGTTCACGATCGAAGGTTAATTGGGGGGCTAAGGCCAGAATTCAGTACCAGTCGATCAACTGCGACCGGTACTTCGACCTTATTAACCTACAAAGTTATGACCTGATCCTCGGAACTCCGTTCCTGTTTCAGCACAACATAATGATAGGATTGAACCCACCGAAGGTTATAGTCGGGAGCGCGGACCCACTGCCCCTACGAGGTGAAGGTGTTCGGGTGCTCGAGTCTCGAGCCGCTGACCTCCTTGAAGATGATCTACAGCACGTCCGTCAGAGTCTTATGGACTATGCACGGCCCATCTTCCTGGACGGGCGTGAGGCCCCGTTACCTCCCTTTCGGGCTATCAACCACTCAATTCCCCTAAAGGATGAAAGTAAAGTGTATAGCTGGCGCCCGGCACGATGCCCGGATGCCCAGCTTGCTAACTGGACAGAGAAGAAGAATGCTTACCTTAAGAGTGGTCGTTGGAAACCGACTCACTGTGGTAATGCCTCCCCGATGCTTCTCTTGACGAAACCTGGCACGGGCGTAAAGGGGATCCCACCTCAGTTACGTATTGCAGTAGACCTGCGCGAACGCAACGCGAACACTGTCAGAATGACTACGCCCCTCCCAGATATCGAAGGGATCCTTCGGCGGGTGTCCAGGCACAAGTATCGATCTATATTAGATCAGAAGGATGCGTACGAACAGGTCCGAATCGTACCCGAGCACATCAATCGCACGGCGATGACTACACCTGACGGCAATATGGTCAGTCTGGTGCTTCAGCAGGGTGACTGTAATGGGCCAGCCACCTTCCAGGCATTGATGTCACACATCTTCGCGAAACACTTGGGTGTGGTTATGGATGTATACCTTGACGACATCATTATATATACGGACACGCTCGAGGAGCATGTACGTGTATGTAAGATGGTCATTGATACACTAAAGAAGGAGAAGTTGTTCTTAGGAGAAAAGAAGGCTCACTTTCTGGCAAAGGAGATCCGCATATTGGGCCGCATCGTCGATGATGATGGTGTCCGAATGGACAAGGATAAGGTTGATAGTGTCCTCGCATGGAAAACGCCTACCAACCGTGACCTATTGCGGGGGTTCCTTGGCTCCGTCGGATACCTGGCCGATGATCTGGCACAAGTGCGGATTCCCATGGGGATACTGTCATCTCTCACGGGGGACTCAGTTCCCTTCCAATGGGAGCACACTCACCAACGTGCTTTCGAGGAAGTAAAAGCTATAGTACACGCCCACCGAGAGCATCACCGGAAGGCTCTGGATTACTCACCTGACGCAGATCCTATCTACCTGGTGACCGATGCGTCACACGGGGGTCTCGCGGGGGTGATAAGCCAAGGAAAGGACTTCCGCACGGCGCGGGTAGCGGCCTTCTATTCCGCGAAGCTCAATACAACACAGCTGAATTACGCTGTCCACGAGCAGGAAATGCTCGCGGGCGTCGAATCCATGCTGCGGCATCGCGACATTCTTCAAGGGGCTAAGTTTAAATGGTTAACTGACCACAAGGGCCTCATCCACCTAATGAGGCAGAAAACACTCACAGGCCGCCAGGCGCGCTGGATTGAGAAGATCTCTGAGTTTGACTTCGAAGTGGAACACGTACCTGGCACGGAGAACGTCCTCGCAGACGCGTTGTCGCGGATCTACTCCAGCGACTCTCCCGGTACGGTACGGTCCCGGTCCGAATATACCGACCACGACGAAGGGGCATCTAATGATACACTCACCTCGCACGGTATTTCCATGCCCCTCTTCGTGGGCCCGGAAGCAATGGCTATTGCTCCCGCGGAGACTGGACGACCGGAGACCCTCCGTGAATGGCGGAAGGGCATCCGGAAGGTCAGATTGATTGTCCGTGACCCCAATCAGGAGGGAGGGGCTGGACAGACAAAGGAACTACCTAGTCAGGAGCAGGAAGCGGACTTAGAGGAAGTCGACAGCAATTCCAGCCCGATTAGGCAGGAGGTACAGCCACCACCACCGGCGGAAGCAAAAGTGGCTGATCACGCAGACCAAGCGCGTGCGGAGGTTGCCGATCGTATGGCCACCTTCGGTACCACGCCACCGCTTGTCCACAATCCGGACAAGGACGAGGAGGAGGAAGTCAATTATGATTTCCTTGACTACCTCATGGGTAACGAAGGTATTAGCTTGGAACAAGCGGTTACCAACCGATATGAGGAGGACCCATGGTTTAAACAAATCATCAATAAACCTCGGGAGTACAAGAACTTCCTTGTTGACAAAGGGAAGGTCTATCTACGGATGCACGACCAACTTGTGCTCTGTATACCTAAGATAACTATCCAAGGCCGTAGCGCCAGGGAAATAGCTATCGCTAATGCACACCTATTGTTAGCACACCTAGGCTCTCAGAAGACGCTGGACCTGTTACGTGAGCATGTCTGGTGGACGGACATGGTCTCGGACGTCAAGACCTATTGTCGTACTTGCATTACCTGTAATAGGAGCAAGCCGTCCACCCAGAAACCCTATGGACTTCTGAACCCACTTCAGGTTCCTAGCCGACCCTGGGAAGCCATCGGCATCGACTTCGTGGGACCGTTCCCGGAGTCCAAAGATAGGAATGGCACCTATGATTCCATCACGGTAATTATAGACCTACTCACGGCTATGGTGCACTTAGTACCCAGCCGGGATAATTACAAGGCAAGGCACGTCGCTGAGCTTGTATTTTCGGAGGTATACAAACATCATGGACTCCCTACCGCCATAATTAGTGACCGGGATGTATTGTTCACATCTCACTTTTGGGCCCGCTTACATCAGCTGATGGGCGTCAAGCTTAGAATGTCAAGTGCTTATCACCCACAGTCCGACGGATCGACCGAATGGGCCATCCGGACCGTCACTCAGATGCTGCGTCAATGCATCGGAGAGAAGCAGTCCGATTGGGTAAGCAAGTTACCTGCTATAGAATTCGCGATCAATATGTCCCGATCCGCGAGTACCGGCTACTCGCCGTTCTTCCTGAATACGGGACTTATACCCAGATCCATTGTCTGGGGGAAAGTTAAGTCAGATGAATACCCGGCGGTGCGGGTATATGCGCTTAAAATGAAGCAAGCGATCATGGCCGCGCACGATAGCATCATATCCGCGCGGACTAAACAGATCAGGGATGCTAACCGCCGCCGGCGGTACTCCCCTTTCAAAGTTGATGATTCAGTTTACCTGTCTACCCAGAACCTGCGGTTCCCGAAAGGGCTCTCGCGGAAAATGATGCCTAAATGGATGGGGCCTTACCGGATAGAACGCGACTTCGGTAACAACTCCTACCAATTGGAACTACCCCCGAGCCTCAAGGCTCGAGGCATTCACAACGTGTTCCATTCATCACTGCTTAGGATCTATGAGCCTAACGATGACCGTCTATTCCCAGGAAGGACAGACGAGCACGTTCTTATCACTGATGATCAAGCGACCCGAGATCTCGGATGGGAGATCAATCGGGTGCTGTGCCACAAGGGCAAGGGACGTCAGGCTGCCTTCCAAGTGGAGTGGAAGACCGGGGAAGCAACCTGGCTCCCATATCGGGACCTGGCTAATCTGACTCCGTTCAAGGCTTACCTCGAAGCTGTAGGAGTTGACAGTATAGGCCGTTTACCGGAAGGAACGGGCAAGCCGCCTTCCGACCCGCAACAGTACTATGGCCAGTTAGGCCTCAATCAATTTTCTATAAATTCGCTGGAAATCCTTCTCCAACCCTCCATCCAACCACTCGACGCTCACTACTCTAAGAACTCATCTGCCACCATGTCGGCTCCTGCTCGCATCTCCGACTTCCCCCACATGCATCGAGACTTTGATGCCGGCAAGGTTATCTTTGACGCTGGCGACCGCTATCGGATCTCTTTCACCCACACCGAGATAGCGGCCTTCTGGGACTTCCAACAGCTCTTACGCATCGGCAATCTCCCGCCAATTCTCACGGTTCCCGGTGGCTACACGAAGTTCGCTCGCGCCTTCAATCTCAACAAAGGACCAATCCGTGTTCCCGAGATAAAAATATCGACTCGGCACATCACGCCGGGTACGGAGATATGCGCTATGGCCTTCCTTGTTGGGAAGGACCCTTTACTCGTCACTAAGAAAGACGTCATATCTCTGGCCGAGCTCGAGCAGCTTCGTGAGTATCGGGCGCTGCAGATCAAGAAGGAGTTGGAGAGGGAGACGAAGAAAGACAAGAACGTGAAGCAGCGTAGCGACAATAAGCGTCTTCGCGAGGCTGGCTAC